GCTTGTTTATCGCCTACTGCTTGTTGTTGTCCTAGTCCTTGGCCCTGTTGTTGTTGTGGTGGTGCGGCCCCCAAGGAAGGAGGGGGGGAGCTGGACTTGTTGTGCTTGACCTTGAGTTTGATTTGAGGGGGGAGAGGATCGTAAGAAGGGAGCGATATCAAATTGACAGCTTGCGTGTGTAACCCCTTTGGCAGCAAGTGCGAATGCGTGTGGTGGGAATGGTGGTGCAAAGGCGGGAGATGGTGAGCATGTCTTGAGATGAGGAAAGTACAAAGGGGGTGTATTGTTGATGATGGTTGGATGTTGGGAGTGAGTGTTCCAAGGCTCTGTTTTCGTCGTTCATCAGCTTCACGAAAACACGAAACACGCCGAGAAAAAGAGGCATACGAGCTAGCTCTGACTCTGCCCAGGCATATACCACCGACTCCCTTCCCCCCCCCTCCTCCTCCATTTGAAGAAGTGCTCAAGGAACTGCCTGCATGCGCCATTGCACCCAAAATACTCCCCGGGAACTACCCATCCTACTCCCTGGAATAACAATGGCATGGGGCCTCAGGTGAACACCAAAAGGAGGCAGGGAAGTGCCAGGTATGCTATCATTCCTCCTGGCTCTAGCAGGGCATTCAGTAGATACGCTATGGAACCATAACAATAGAAATTGACAATTGTCCCAATAAGTCATAGGGCTACCCCAATGGGCCCAATTACAAAAGACATTATGATACTATACATTGGCCCAACAACATGACAATATGTATATTTGATTGTTGGGCCCAACGACGGTGCCACAGTCCAAGCTAAGGGTTTATAGATTGGCCACATGGCTTAAATGGGGGTAATTTTGGCCGTTGATATATGACGGTATTAAGGTACCCTTGATAGTTGGGCCCAATGAAGGGAAATCGTTAAGGTAGATGGTTGGGCCCAATGGCCCAATTATTAAGCTACGGTTGATGGTTGGGCCTAATGTAAGGTATTTGTTAAGGGAACAGGTTGGGCCCAATGGTAAAATTTCAATGCTATGGCTTGTAAGTTGGGCCCATGCCATGATATAGGCTATAGTTCATAGGTTAGCCCAATGATTATTTGAATTTTGCGGGTGTGGGCTTTGGTCCGGTAAACCCGCAGGTCTGCTCCTGTTCCATTGGACCCACGGCCGCACAATTGTGCAATTACACCCGCGGGTTGGCTATTGTGCAGTTACCCCCATGGGGTAGCTCATGTTCCGTTACCCCTGCAGGTTGCCATGTGGGCCAGATCATGTTCCGTTACCCCCGCGGATCAACAATTGATCCATTACACCCTCATGCTGGCTGTTGTTCATTACCCCCACAGGGCAGCTCTTGTTCCGTTAGCCCCGTGGGTCGCCACACAGGCCAGATTATGTTCTGTACCCCACGGGTCGACAAT